TCCAAAGTTGATCAAGTAATGCCTCCTTATAGGAGGAGGGTTCAGATAGAGAATGAATAGAAGTAAGGAAAGAACAAAAGTCAGAAGAATAACAAGTATTACTCCAACCAAACCTGTCTGGACATTTGCGATAGCGCTCAGGATAACGTGAGGTATGATTCACAGTATCTGAACCTGATTGAATAGCCAAAGGAGAAAGGGGAGGCACTGGAATCCTGCGAACATATGTATGCACAATAGGGGGACGAGTAATAGTCAACTCAGAAGATGAAGGATCTGACACAGGTAAATCACCAACATATGTGTCATGAGGAACATTAGTAGGAAAGGGATCAATGTATATCAGGTCAGACTTTTGCAATAAGGAAGAACTAGATGGAATTGAAAAGAATGGAATATGCTCCATAAAAACAACATGAAGAGAGACATAAAGTTTATAGGTGATGGGATCATAGCAACGATACCCTTTTTTACCCTCACCATATCCAAGAAATACACATAAAGCTGAATAGGTAGAAAGTCTGGTACGAAGACCACTAGGGAGCAAAATAAAGCAGGTACAACCAAACACACGAAAATAGTTAGGTGGCTTACCACATAACTTTTCAAATGGAGATACTCCAGAAGTGAGAATAGTAGGATTGGTGTTGATCAAATGAACTGCTGTCAAAACTGTTTCCCTCAAAAATGAGCTGGGAACAGGTGCTGATAATAGAAGGGAACGTGCCATCTCTAGAATATGACGGTGTTTTCGTTCTACAACACCATTCTGCTCAAGTGTGTCAGTGCAAGAGGATTGATAAAATGTACCATCAGATTTCAACAAATCATGAAAAGAAGTAAGAGTATATTCACCTCCTTGATTACATCGAAAATATTTAATGACTGCGGAATATTAAGTGCGTACCATGTTACAAAAAGTGGTGAAGATGAAAAAGAATTCAGACCGACGTTTCATCAAGAATACCCAACAGTACCTCGTGTAATCATCAATAAATGAAACATAATATTGGACCCTCTTTTTGTAGGAATAGGAGTCGGTCCCCATATATCAGAGTAAACAAGATCAAATGGTGCAAGAGAACAAGTAACACTTTTATTGAATGACAATGCACTAAATTTAGCCAATTTGCATCCATTACAATCAGAAATGTCATGACTATCTAAACTACCCAAACTACCAGTCGAAGCTAAAAATTTTAAACGAGAATAAGAAACATGACCAAGACGAGGATGTCACAAATAAAAACTAGATGACTTTGGACTCAAACAAAAGAAGATAAATCAACAGTAGAAGCAGCAGCGTCAGCATCTGGGACATGAAGTTCCTCCAACACATATAACCCGCCCTTTCTACGGCCTGTCCCAATCAGCTTCTTGGACCGTGGATCCTGCACAACACAACTAGAAGAAGAGAAATGAACCAAAAATCCATAATCAAATAGTTGACTGACTGAGAGTAAATTCAAAGTAAGTTGAGGGATATAATAGACATCTGAATGTGTAAGGTTGGAGAAAATAATTGTCCCAACACCAACTAATGACATTTGAGAACCATTGGCAGCAAGTACAGATAAAGATAGAGGAGAATCAATAGATGCAAATAAAGAAGAGTCACTTGTCATATGATGTGTGGCACCTGAGTCAAAGACCCATGCGGTATGAGATATATCTAAAGGATCGGAGCTGAACGAACCTATAGTAAGAGAAACTGTGAGAGCACCAGATTGATGAAGGGAAAGAAACTTCTATAGCTGATTTGCAAGCATAGGCAGGTTGGGAGCTGATGAGCCTGACTCATCCACTGGTGGTGCTACGGCTGTTATATGACGATCTCTGGACTTAAATGACTGATTTGAGACCCTCATGAATTCTTGTTCATCAACTTTGGACATTGGGCTTTTCAATGACCCTTTTCATGACAGAAGCTACACTCATCAGAAGCAACACACCCTCGATATTTGTTTTGGGAAGTAAAGGTCATTTTAGAAGGAACAACCAATACAGTCTGATTTGGCAATGGGAGAAAACCCTTCCCAGAAAGGGTTTTAAGACGAACCTCTTCAGCTAAGAGCTCATTAACAAGTGCATCCACTGAGGGGAGTGGGTGATGATGAAGAATGGAACCTCGAAGTCCCTCAAAGTCATCTCTAAGAGCCATCAAAAATTGCACCAACCTTTGTTCTTATCTGAAAGTGCGATATGTCAGATTAGTGTTCAACTCAGTGGGTTCAGTAAGTGCTAGCTAATTCCAGAAGCCAGTCATAACTGAGTAGAATTCTTGAATGGTTTTGTCCCCTTGGCGCGCATATCGAATCTCATGCTCTAGCTGATACCTCTTTGCAAAATTAAACTGAACAAAAAGTGTGGCCAAATAATCTCAAATTTCCTTAGCTGTGGTAAACTTGGATAGATGAACCCCAATGGTCTGATCAACTGAATTATTAATTCAGGTGATAATTTTCACATTGTTGATATCTCAAATACTCTTCAAATTAACATAATTGTCTGCCTTAATATCAGTTGGAGCCTGTACAATACCACTAATATAATTCCACATGTCTTTTCCCAATAAATTTTTTTTCATAACATAAGCCCAATAAACATAATTGCCACTATTAGTCTCACACTAATGGCTTGTAGGGAATTAGAGTTTCCTTTCATTGTAGCAACGATTACACCACAGTCAAAGTCAAAGCAATCACAAAACCCAGTAGCCCCTAAGAAAACAATACCACCGAAAAACAACAGTACTCAACAGCAAAGAACCCATTGCCAAAGGAAGCAAACAACCAGACTGCTGAAGCTACTGCTGAAGCCACACCTAGATGATCACCCACAACTCAGCCAAAGCCACTTCTCAAATTCAACCACAAACCAGCAAGAAAAAGGCACTAGCAAAGCCACCGACTGTTCTTACGATGAACAGTAGTCTGACAAAGCAAAACAACCAAAATCCAACTAAACCTCAACCAAATGCCTTCCAATCACACAACCAGCCAGTGCACACCCTTAATTGCACCCTTTAGACCCGATTGTAAGCAAATAATTCAAGAAAAACAGCCCCAAATTCTAGATCGAAAAATAGAGCCGAAATTTTTTGAAAAACATTCAAAATTTGGAAAACCCTATCCAATGGCCTCAAAGACAAAAACGAAGCATATCATTGTAAAGTCCATGAAGAATCGAATATGGTGGTGTTCTCCCGACTCCAGATTGATGACATCAGCCTTAGATTGATGACGCCAGCCCTAGCTTGATGACGTCAGCCTTTGTTCAGAAAGGCCTGTTTTGCTCTTCAAATTTTTTTTTTTTTTTTAAGTATGCTAGGATCGAATGCTCTGATACCATGTTAACATTGATCAAAGAGAAAGGGAAGAAAAGAGAAAGAATGTATTATTCATGAAAAAGCTAGTCTATAATACACAACCTTAACCCAGAAATACACAAAGTAACCCTTATATAGTAGGGCAACACAACATAAAAAAAAAAATGCCTAAACTACCTTTATTATGAATACTCTTACACAAGGATAGACCCTAAGTCTATACCTATTCTCTCTAATTATGGATGAACTCACTGGACACATTCAAGATGATGTTCCACGATATATCCTATTTGCAAATGATATTGTATTAGTAGATGAAACTCGAATGGGGATTAACAATAGGTTATAAATTTGGAGAGNTGGACACATTCAAGATGATGTTCCACGATATATCCTATTTGCAAATGATATTGTATTAGTAGATGAAACTCGAATGGGGATTAACAATAGGTTATAAATTTGGAGAGAGACACTCGAGTTAAAAGGGTTTAAAATAAGTAGGAGTAAGACTAAATACATGCAATGTAATTTTAGTAATAAAAGAAGTAGATATAGTGAAAAAGTTAAAGATTGAAAATCAAGAAATACCAACGAGTAAACAATTTAGATATCTAGGATTGATCATTAAAAATGATGGAGAGATTGGAGATATAATGTAACTCATAGAATCAATGTCAATTGACTTAAGGGGAAGAAAGCCTTTGGCATATTATGTGATAAGAGGATACCAACAAAATTGAAAGGTAAGTTTTATCGAACAATTATAAGGACATCAAAGTTGGATGAGACAGAATGTTGGGCAACTAGGAAACAATATAGTGACAAAATGAGTGTAGCGGAAATGAGAATTTTAAGGTGTATGTATAGAAAAACTAGAAAGGATATAATAAAAATGACCATATTAGAGAAATGGTAGAAGTGACTCCAATTGAGAATAAATTAAGAGAAAATAGATTAATATAGTTTAATCATGTTCAACGGGAGCCCATAGAGGCACCAGTTCAAAAAAGTGAGACAATCTCTTTTAATAGTACTAGAAATATGAGTAAAGCTAAATTAATATTGAACAAACTAATAAAAAAAATATAAAAATATTTAACTTAAATGAGCATATAGTACATGCCCGAAATGAAGGCAAAGACGAACTCATATAACCGACCCCAAATGATTGAGACCTAAAACTTAGTTTGATTTGATTTGATTTAGTTAAAAAGTATTTCAAATATTTCTTGATTAAAAAATTTACTTTAATCATAAAAATATTTATTCTGTTCAAAATCTAAAGTGTAAGATTAACGTTTGGATTATATTTCTGAATTATCTGAGCCATTTTTTTGATTTTATATTGAGAAGCTCTGTATTGTAAATGGGTGACACCAAGGAAAAAGGACCTAGTTCGGATTACAACCACATAAGAGAAAATATATTCATTAAAATAGTACATTCACGTCATTATTATCACATAATATCCTGGATCAATTTAAAATCACTACACAGATCGAGTAAAATCCAGTTTCTCCCATTCAATCATATTTCTCTTTCACTTCTCTCTGAAAATACCAAGCTTTCTTCTATACTCATCAGTTGTCATTCAAGATATGTAAATATGAGAAATAAATTAACACTTTTTCCCGTGTTTTTTCTGCAGAAGATCATCAAGTTTTTTTTTTCTTCAAATTTTCTCGCCCTCCAACCAGCGCGTATAAAATGCCAATGCCTCGCGTGGTTTGTACTCGGGGACAGTATGTCCAGATCCCTGCACAGACATTAAAAGAACATAACAGTTTTTTTTTTCTTCCCCTTTTTGTTTCTTTGAATAGCGGAATATACAGTACATAATACTTAACACAGGAAAGTGAATAGTTAATACTAACAATAATTCCATTATAAAGTACTTGAGACAGGTTGACAAATTCTAAACAACAGACCTTGATGGTGATAAAGGTGAGATTGTTGTCATATCCTTGGAGGTACCTGCAACCAAGAAAACAAGGCGGGAACTTATTAGTTTGTAATGGAGGTTCAAGAAAGTATATACAAACAAAAATCCTTCAAAATAATTAGCAAATTTTCTGAAAGAATGGCATGTTCTCCTTCGCCAAAAAGAAAGTTTTCAAAAATAGAGACACACCCAGCAACTTGTCCATTTAGTGTCCAAGGCCTCCATTCATCCCGAATCTTATATCCCAGTGATTTTGTCCATGCCTCACTCCCCGTGTATGGAACACACATATCATGATCTCCACTGCAAGAAATGTATAAATGGTTGATTAACTATAGTCAGCTTTGTAAATAAAGAAGTTTTTGTATTCCTCTCTACCATGTAAAGGTATGATTAATTATATATCATTCAGAGTAGAATGCTGTCTGTATCATGAAGCGTATGACTTCCTTGAAAATTGATGGCAAACAGTACATATTTTTTTGTTATTTTGAAAATGATGTAAAATAAAGGGTGTTGGAGATATAGCAGTAGTCTAGTTTATTAGAGCTTATAAGTTTTTCTCTTTTTACCTTTTTATCCTTATTGTAACTTTTATTGGCTATATATACGGGGCTCTACACTTAATTTGTATCTCTTTTTTCACTTACCTGTATTTCAAGTTGGTATCAGAGTCATCCCCTAACCCTTACCCTAATCCTAACCTCATCATCAATCACCACAGCACCGACAGCCACCAGCCCCTCCTCCACGTTGCAGCCCAGTGCCGATATCAATCCGCCACTACCCAGCAACAAAACCCCATACCTCAAACCACCGACACCACCCAGTCGAAACCACTCCAACAAACCAATACCCACCGACACCATTAAAACCAGCAACACCGACTGCAACCCAGCAGCACCGAAACACATCAAACCAGCGAACAATATTCTGCCCATAACACATACACCGACCAGCATACCAAAACCAAATGCCCCCATCCACCATAACACATCAAACCGACTGCCCATCCACCATACACCATCAAACTCAGCCTACCCAAAGTCGATTGCACCCAACTTCAGCCGACAACTACATCCGAAGGTACCCAAAGTTGACAGCCCATACACCATACACCATCAAACCCAACCGACAAACCGAAGGTACCCAAAGCCGATTGCACCCAATCTCACCACCGCCAGCCAACACAAATCCAATACACCAACAGCAACGCCACTGCCCAAATAAAAAAAAAAACAACCATACTCAAACCCAATAAACCCAGACCAACCCAATAAACCCAGACTAGCCCACACCCCCAACCAGCCCACTATTGTCTAGCTTAATTCTATTTAGCCCACTGTCGGTTCTTCTCCGTTGATATACTCTTGATGCAGTAGCTCATTTATTTATATTTACGGATTTCTGGGCACCGTGACTTGATTATTTAGGAGCTTTCTGGACTTTCTTTATCTGTCGCTACTATTCGACTGGAGGTATATTGTTCTCCCTTATTTTATCTCTCTATTTTTCTTAGAGTTGTTTTTCTGTTACAGGTGCCCTAGTATTATTGTTGATATGACTACTGCAGAGGGACTTGAGACCCCCACTGTTGACACCTCTACCGTTGAGACTCCTACTGTTGAGACATCTATTAGTACTTCCACTTTTATGTTCGACCAATATACAATACCTACTAGCACAGTTGCATTACCCGTAATGTCAGGCATGATCTCTCAGAAAGTTACGACACAGTTGTTGAATGGCCGTAACTTCGCTAAGTGGTCTCGCTTATTCCAGCTTTTCTTAGGCCTTGTAGGGAAGCGTGGTTGGCTGACTGGATCTCACCCAAAGCCAGCTGATGCCGACCCTAGATATTCTGCGTGGTTCTCTGAGAACAACGCTATTCTTGGATGGTTATTTGGCTCGATGGAGCCATCTGTTTGCAAAATTCACCAATTTCATAGCTCTATTCCGAAGCTATGGAGAGCATTATCAAAGATGTATTCTCAGTTAGGACGAGGAGTACGTGTTTATGAGCTTTCTCAAGAGTTCTCATATGCTCGACAGGGAGATTTGACCGTTCAGGATTATTATGACTATTTAACCCAGCGCTGGCTTGAGTATGAAACTCTACGTCCTCTTGCTGTTATTCCGAGGATAGAGCCTAAGGGAACAACATTCTTGCACACTCGAGAGCAGGAGGATAGGATTCACAAGTTCCTTATAGGACTTCGTGATGAGTTTGAGGGACCTCGTTCCCAGATCTTATCGATGTTGACGCTTCCTTCTCTTTATGAGGTGCATGCGATGATTGAGCAGCATGAGCGCCGCGTCCATATTGCATCACTTCCAGTTGCGGCCTTGACTCCTCCAGCTGATCATATGACCCTTGCAGCAGGGTCTCGTTCAAGATCCTTAGTTAGGGGTGGGCAGCGCTCGGACCAGCGCCGTCAGGGTGCCCCAGATCAGCGCAGACAAAGAAATTCTCGTCAGTGTGATTATTGTGGCCGACCAGGACATCTCAGGGCTGCTTGCTAGAAGCTCTATCCAGAGCTTAAGCCGCCTCCTCATGGTCGTACTGCTGCTATTGCTGAGGTACCACTACTCCTTGGCAAAGTGATATGGATGCTATAACTTCCCTTGGATATACTTATGTCCCCTCTGACTTCTCAGAGTCCGAATACTATTGCAGCCACCACTACAAGTATACCTCGTGCCTTTCATGATTGTGTCAATCCGTCTCCCCTTTGGATGCTGGACTCGGGGGCGAATGGTCACATTACAGGTAAGGCCCATCACTT